GGTATTTTAAACCTCTATCCTCTTTTTACTTCATTATTATATTTCTGCTAGATCTTAGCCTCAACGCATTTGGCATCCTGGTGCGTGCTTAACTGCGTTTATAATGAAGTCAGAAATACGCCTTCATCCAAAACTGAGCATAAGCTACCATTTGAAGTGGCGGTATGCATGCTATCGAAATGTGTCGAACGTACCAGTATCAGAAAGAACAACTTTGCTCATTAAATTTGATAATAAAATAGGAGTTCCACTGAAATTTCACTTCAAAAATAAAGACGGTCTCTCTAATTCTGCATAATTTTAAGACAAATTAAGCTAAAATGTATTTTGATATCATTTTAGCAGATTTTTTTGTCAATAATGTCACACTTACTAAACCCCTTCAACTGCAATGAACACTCCCAAAGTACCAGTCCCTTTTTACAAATATTTTTTGTGCGAGAGTGAGTGGAATTGCAAATATAACTATTAGTATGGTATTTTTTAATGGAGACTAAATGACAGTTGCGGTTGAGATCCGCCTACTCGAAAGCATACAACTTGAGATTGAGATTGTCTGATGGAGTGGTCATGGATAGTAATGAAAATAAAATGAAAATGACATCTTCTTAGAACCTTAGACATAGCAAGCAAAACCTTAACACATAAACGCAGAAATTATTTGTGTGAAGATTGACACAATAGAGGGGAAAAGATGTGGGGAGGGAGTAAGGTACTGTGGCTTTCTCTTGATAATATTCCTTCAATTGACGGCCATTGCTTGTTCTTATCAATAGCATTATTCTCATAAATGCAAGAAGGAGTAATGAGCTGAAAAACAAAGGAGATAGAGGCAGAGGTGGCTGGGGTTAAACTGTTTTTGGCTTCTAGAAGCAAACAGGTTTTCAAAAGCAGTTATTTTAACTGCATCTTTTTGAAATGAGTCTGCAAATTGTGTGTCGTAACAGTGGCTATTTCAATAAACAAACTTTTGTGAGAAGATTTGTGTAGTTACATACTTTGTTGATTGTTTTTAGCATTTGCTTGGAAAATTAGCTCTTGGAACGTCAGCCTTGCTAATATTAACTAGCAAATGCAAGAATAAGGGAGCAACTGCATGCTCACACGTATCTAATTAAGAAAGTCAAGAGCAAATCACTTTTGTTCAACATCACTATGCAAATTCCTTTGAATGAATTGTCAAAGGTTATTTTCTCTCGAAATTAAATAATTTTTTGTTGTTTTCACATAAGAGACGGTTTAATTTTCACGCGGAAAATAAATATTTTCCTAAGTGAGAAGTCGCTGGGGTATGGCGAAAAGTTATTACAGAGGTACAGAAGAGCATGCAAAATCACAATAGAGAGTCCTTAAGTGCTTGTGTAATCAAAAGTAATAAAAATATTATGTGGCCCCCACCACTTTTGAGCGTCATCCCGGTACTCTCCTTTGACAGCCTTCGCAGCTTCTTTCGCAGCACAGCTTGCGCAATAAAAAACTCTACCATCCAGTCATCGAATTTGCGTGCAACAGAGAAGATATTTGTTGGTATCGTCAATGATTCCTTCTGACAATTGCACTGTTTCTTTTGTTTCATTCTCTTTTGAATGTGCTTGGAATGAAAAGGAAATATTATGGTTATTTTGCATGCCCATTGCTTGCTCTAGGAACAATGAAGTAAAAGCAGTCATTTAATAGCCGACATGACTTAAAATACTGCAATGGGATTAAAGCTTTACCTGTAAACCAACCTGCCACTTTGTTCTCATGCCATTGCTGCCCAACCATATCAATATGCGTTGCTTAGAGCTAGTGGATGGCTGGAGGAGTACTGTAGACAGCTTCGCAACAAACGGCTAGTGTCGTTTCAGTTGTTCATGACATTCCTGCAGATTACGAAGGTGTAGTATTTACCAAAGAAGTTGGGAGTCTTCACGACATATGTGCTCCTTCCGTCAAGTTGTAAGTGTTTGCCATTTAGGATCGGTTTTTTTGCCACTGTTCTCAATTTAACGCTTCATGGGTTTTCAAATTTTTGAAAATCAGGGGACTTTGGCGAAGGCATATTGTTATTGCACTGTAGGGCTAAAGGGGAGCAAGAGGACAACAACGAGGCTTTAAGTGCCTGCGCAATCTGCAAAATTTGCTAAAATGCGACTTGCTAGTTGACAATTTTGATTAATTTTTTGTCCATGTTCCTATCTAGACCATCCTATTTATTACAATTCTTGCGGTTTTCGATTTCTCAAAATAAGAATTCATATGACCCTTACGGGATTGTTTCAACAATCACTTGAGACGCCATTGTATAGCCAGTCTAAATATCAGCACAAGTGCAATGGGGAAAAAGGGAATCATCTCAATCCCTAAATAGGAAGTTTACTTGAAATGCAACTTGCTCAGTGCCCTATGACTCTAGATCGCTTTCCTCTGGCCCCTTTGTTTATTTTCATAACAAGGTCAGGAATCAGTCTTACAGTTCCCTTCGCCCAATACAAAGCAACTTACAGTTGCTATTGTCCGATTGAGTCTTCCCATTTTGTCCAATTACAGGTGTTTCTTGACTTAGGTAACATTGTGGCTTTACCCAAAATATTTTAGTAAGGGAAACTTACTTTATTTTTCGGAGAGTGTGGAAGTGACTGCAGGAATTTCGCTCCTGTTCATGGAAGAATCTTTAATTAAAGCCAAAAAAAGACATCATTGTATCTCTCTAATAAAGGATGCTTCTGAAACAAATAAAGCTAATTACGTAATGCTTGTTCAAGCATTTACATTTTGATATTCTATTAATATTTTTCAGGTTCAAATTTGGAGTTAATTTGCTGTCCATTAATTTGCTTTATAATTTATTTAATCCAACTCAAAGTTCGTGTTTCTGTGGGGCCTCGAGGCTTTCCTGTAGTCGAAAAGACTCATTATATAAGGGCAGAAAATATATTGCCAGATTAAGGAGGACTAAGGGACTGCTGGCACAGCGCAAAGGTCATACAATTGAGAGGAAGTACAAAGGCGGAAACTTGTGTGAACCTGAAACCAAAACGAGAAAATAAACACAAAATTAAAGTATTGCATTTCCACTGCTTCATTTCCTCTTTTTATCAAAAATTCTTTTATTATTCTTTACTTTCCGAAAACGCTAGGTACGGTAGGAGGTAGTTGAAATAAATTACTTACTAGCAAATCTGTTCATCAAAAGATGTTCGAATTGTACAAATTTAATATTGTCGAGGTAAATGTGTGCGAAGGCACTTGACACCGTCAATTTTATGTTAGCCAACAAATTGGCGTTATGTATTAGCCTATAACGTGCTTACTGCAGAAGCAACCAAAGCTTTATTTGAAGCTAAATTTATGCTTTTTTTAGAGCTGAGCACAAACTTGCGTTTTTTGCTTTTTATAGGTGTAATCCCATCTCAAAATAGACGTTGGAGATTAAAACCATTTTAACAGTCAACTGCACGTCCCTAAATTTTACTCATTTGTTTTTTTGTATCAGCCTTTTTCCATGTTGTAAGGTTATTTACGAACCCGTTGGCTGTCATCGACCTCGGCACTTTGGTAATGAAGAACCCAGTTTAGAGAAAAAGTGGGAATTTTCAAAGAAAAATTAATATTTATGTCCAAAGTAGGTCTATGTTTGTAGATTATTTTAAAACTTTTCTTTTCTTTACCGGTTTTGTAGAAGTCACAGTTATTATGAAAGCTTTGCTTTTAATTACCATAACCGAGCGTTAACATTTGCATCGTTATTGCAGCTGCAGTCGTAAGTCTCCATTTTTGCGTCGCCACTGTTGCATGACTTTTTCAGTTCCTTTTTTAGAGGTGAGTTTTCGATCGTTACCCTCAATTCGTTCATTACATTATGAGAACTTTGCAATTTGGATCGTCATCATTCGAGAAGGATGAGAAATCATAAGTGTTTTCGAATTTGGTAAAAGTTAATGCAACTGAATATCATAGTGGAGCATTTATGCAAGACAGATGGATGTGATTCTCGCTTGTCAGCTTGTAAAGCAGATGGATAGTCAATCTGTTAGGCCGAAATCGTTTTCTTGTGAGACCTTATGATACCTTTTGGCAAAACCACATGAGAAGAGACGCTGTCTCATTCTTCTGGTGACAATTTTTAAATGCTGTTTATTGGCATTTATCGTCACCAGGGTTAAGCACATACTAGCATAAATGCGCAGACAAGGGAAAGCGTGAGCGAAGGGTTTAGGAGGTTTCTATATATTCACACCCCATTTGAATTCAATTTGAGTGTGCAGAATTTCCTTTAGTAACTAAGGTTATTCGAGACCTAAATATCAGGTTCCAAATTTGATTGTCTAATAGAGTAAATCATTTTACGTTCATAAACATTCCTATTGCCGCCCTGCATCCTAAGTTAATAAATAATGAAACAAGGGGATTTTTTAATATTTGTTCTTTCCTAGAACTTGCCTTAACCATGTGTCTTCAATATTCCGCTTTCTTTGTGCTACACATTTTAATAATTTATACTTATAAGGATTTCCCACATTCTAATTTTTCGAAATCTTATTTTCAATTTCCATTTAATCATAAAATCCAGTGTAATTTAGTAAGTGATGTATCGGTGGAATGTCAGAGCGGTGTGTGTTGTGAGCTTGTCAGTTTTAAGTCAAAAAAGTTCTAAAAATAAGTTTAGTACATTATTAAATTGTATATTACTTTGGGTAGACCGAATTTTGGGAATACCTTTACATCCCTTCGACCTACCTCGTCATGTCCATGGTCTGAATAGTAAATGAATGGTTTTGCCTGCACAATGTGAAGGAAGTCGAAATAAAATATGCACTAACATTTTGGTTTATTTATAATGTGCTAGGTCTTAATAACCTAAACCCTTAGATAAATATATGCTAGACAACAAAATTAACTCTTCCAGTGGAAGCCGAGGCTGCTAGCTAATTTCTCTCAAATATGGATATTATCCATTTGGTGATCAAGTCATTTTTACGCTTCCTGACTGCAATCAGGCAATGGCATTTGATAGAGAATGCTCACGGATTAGTACAACCCATCCAAAGAATTACTTTCTACAAAGTAATTGAAGAAAATTGCAAACTATTGGGACTAATGTCGAGTTGAGGGAGAACTCACTTTTGCTCTGGCGACTGTCGCCATCCATAAAGTGGCATAATACCTTGATTGCTTATTTAATTCTTTCTTTTAGTTAGGTCAGGACTGAAGTCCCCCACATCGTGCTTCCATTAGACGGCAAGGACCACAGACCATCCCGGTGACCCGCCAGTTGGTATTACATTGACTGTCCTTGTATTGTGTATTCTTTTGACCCCAGGAAAGACTTGAGGCACTACAAGTTTATCAGAAATGATAGACCTCTATATTTCAAACATCGCTACCCATGACAGTGTCATTAAACTCTTTCTGTGGTTTCAGTATAAAGCAGTCACTTCCTAAAATGGGTTTATAAAAGCACTCTAGAAAGATTGTCTTAGGATTGCAAAATGAGACTGAGGTACCACTAATCAAAAATTAATGCGTAAATAACCATCTTAACTCTAAAAGAGCTCTCTAATAAAAAATTTTGCCAATCTGAAAACCAGCGTCTGTTCTTTAACTGATTCAATGAAGGATGAAGTTGCGAACCCTCAAAAAATCGTCATCTGGGGTAGATTATAGGTCAAATTATCTCGCAGCTGACAGTACTGCTTCTCAAGGGCAGCTAAACAAACCAATTTAATCAAGGCAGAGCCTAAAATATATTTATGAGCAATTAATAACTGATATTACTCCCACTTTGCAATCATCAGCTCGCTTTAGTTTAGTCGTTTGGCAATAAAAATGATTAAAAATAATCAAGAGGGCTTAGATTTTACTGCGTATCTTTTGCTAAGTGCAGAAGAAACAGTTCAACATGAATTTCTGCAATCAATTATGTACTGTTGTATTCTCATTAGACTAAATACTTTTGGGTCCTGAAATTATATAGTGAGAATGAAAAGCCCTTTAAAAGAGTTCGGTTGTATTGAAAGTGGACTATTTCATCGCAAATGGAGTCTCAGTCTCTTAGTGGAGATGTCGCCGAGTATCGTTGGGTGGTGTGCGTTGATTGGTTTACACGCCTCCCTCGCTAGCATTGTGCGCCCACTGTCTCTTTCCCTCACACTTAGCGTCAGTCAGGTCTCGCCAGTCACATACACTTGCCACCACTTCCATAGAGACTCGCCTGTCTTCGAACCCTCTGATCAGCTCCTCTCACCCTATCACTCTATATTCTTTGTTGGTCTCTCCAGTTTTTGATCTATTATCTATGGACAGAAAGGCCAAAAAACATCATTAAAAGTGAGATTAACGTTTTTGCGTATCTTGCAGTTTGCAACTTAATTGCTTTTTTTGGATTTTTTCTGTTTGAAGGATGTTACGAAGTAGAGAAACTCAAAAGACATGGTAAAGTCACGTCAATGTCTGTCATCTAATATGTTTTTCTAATTTTTCATGTTTTCAAGTAAAATGGAAATTTTTTCGGAAAGCCACGACTAAAAAACATAAGCAAATGAACAAAATTACCTGAATAAATGCCATTGACATAAGAAAAAAGTTAATTCTTGCAAAGAATAAAGTGATTTATGGGAGACCGAACTATTTTTTGAATATACCGCAAAAAAACCGCGAAATGTTATTTATCCAAAGACCCTTATGCGTTCGTAACAATAGGGAAGAAGCATTGATAGAAAAAAGCACTTGATATGGAATATAGCCCACAAATTAAGGGACTATTTTTAGATAAATATTTTGTAAACCCTGATACTGAAACGCTGCATGCATAAATTGCTACGATTAATTGTCATCCGTTTAAATTCAGGATGGTCCTCTATTCAGTACGGGCACTGGTACAGAACAAAGCCGATTTCCATTTAAAGAAAATCATACTTGATGTTATATTTGTCAATTTTTAGAAAAGATTGTCACGTTTAGATATACCATCTTTTGATTACACTAATGCCAATAACATTAGCTGATTAGAAATATTATAAACAATGATTTTTTAATATGTATTCAATCGCAAAGCCGGTGTTTTGCAAATTGCTAAAGTGTATCAAAAAATATCGCTGGTAATTGTTATAAGTTATGCTCTCCTAAGAATGATGCTGCTCAGGCTTTAAGGAGTGAATTTGAAAAGAAAAATTGTTTTACGATGCGTTTGTATGGCTAAGTAATTCCCGTGGGGTAACCCTAGTCTTTTGTTTACGGCATTTCTAATGCAATCACGTTACATAATTAATGTCTGGTATCTTCAGTTTTGTCTCCGACTGTATGGCGTTAAATAATTTAAAAGCTTTTTTTGATAAATGGCTAGTGAGTTATGAGTTTGACAATTTTGTGCCAATTTGACAAAACGGGTATTTTTTATAGAACTGGGGATATCTGGTTTTATTGCGTATCTTATTCTCCTAGCACAGCATTTATTTTCATGTTCATTGCTTTCCGTATTAACAAGTACTGACATTCTAGTATCTATGGCACTAGATTTGCTTAGCAGCGTCAGTGTCAATTTTTTGCGTACGCAGTGTTTTAATGGCATTTGCACTGATACATGTTGCATCAAGTCGTGCTAAAACTCGAGCTGGAGACAAATAACACTATGTAATTTATCCGTTTCCTGAGAGTTGTGCAATTTTTTGGGGGTAATTTAGTGAATTTCAATTCCAGTTACTTGAGCTACATCTACTTTCAAACGGGATAAACTATTAAAGTTACTTTTTCCTGCACATTATAACCTAATAACAAATTTTAAATGAAGTGCTCATAAAGGCGTTAAAAACCCTTCCTTCCTTTAATGACCTAGTTTTCCACTCAAAAAAGGTTTTTTTAGCTTTTAAATGAATGTTTTCTTTTATTTTTTGTGCTAGACTTCCCTTCCTGCCGTGCCTGGCATGGCGCCTTGGATATAGAGTAAGCACATGAATCTCCCTTAAAATTTTGCTGCAAAAAATGACGCAAAACAAAAACACGATTATTTTTCGGTTAGGCAAAAAACCTATGTCAGCGTCCAGGCACTAAGTTTTGCTATGTGGTAGACACAAAGGCGATTTCGCTTCTTTGCTTTTATATTAAAAAGTGATAAATTATCCAAACACACCAGTAGCTCGTTTTATCTAATTATAGTAAAGAAAACTTTAGGACATTTTATGAATTGAGTTAAGTCGTTTTGCCTCTTTAAATAAGCCAATCTGATAAGAAAGGAGGTAAATATAATGTAATCTCAAGTGTTCCATCCAAATAGGTTGAATGAGATCAGGAAAAATCAACACATCACAGCTAAAAGCATTAAAATACTTTATGCAAATCCATAAACTGAGTTAAGTGATCAATATGTTCTTTTTAGAAGGTTTTAATGCCAATGCGGTGGTCACAGCTTTTATTACTATATGGAGTTCTGTTTTCACTTATGATATCACCACCAATGGATGTGATCAACATACAAACCCCCAGCATCAGAGTCGCCATCAATGAATCTGTATGTAGAGAGAATGAACGTAGTGCCAAAATGGAGGTGTACCAATTTCATCAACCTTTTGGATTAGGCGCTGCCTCCATTCCGAGTGCCCACGCTACCGATCCCGATTCCATTTGCCCTGGTAAGCCAATTTTTGCTACACTTAAATCTGAATTATCGAATCCCGTAAAGTACAAAAACTACCCGTTCATTAGTTTATAGAATCGCTAGCTGAATCATCCTAGAGTTTTTGATTGGTTTTGAAGTTTACTTTGAAGTGGTATTTTACCACATCCACGTTAAGGTCATTTCTCCGTCAAGATAAAAGGTTTCCTAATTTTGTGCATTGGACAACTGTGCACCACCCACATTTGCCTGGGATTACTTAAGATGTAATGTAGAAAATTGCACTTTCTTCATTATTCCTCTAGCCTCCCTAGGCGTCAAAATACTTAAAAGTATCTTTATATGATCTCTACTTTTGATGCTATAAACATGATGAGTTACTAAAAATGGTTCGATGTCTAATTCCAGTTCTAAAATTGCAAAAAATTGGGTTCGCCTGAAAAAATCATATTTAAATAAAAGTTTTTACATAATCTGGTGCTTGATGCCCTAATGGCAGCATACTATACCAGGTAATATCGAGTAAACATCTGCACCACCCAAAAGTACTGACAGGTCATCGTTCGCCCTGCCACAAAGGTGCATCGTATGGTTTCGTTAACGCATGCATTGGGTAGAGTGACAGTGTTTCAAATATTATTATGACATTTTAGGAATAGGTTATGTCTTCTGGAGAACACTACATTTTAATCACGAAGGCCTTAATATTGAAGAATAAATCATAATATTTTACCTGAGAGAAAAGCCATTTCCGCTTTTGGCAGGGAATGGAGAATAAAAAGGGCTTTTCATGAGCATATAATGAAAGAATGAATGTCTGTCGTTAACTTTGCTTAGGCATAAAACAAACGTTTTTGCTGCGATGAATCAAGCGCAACACCGCAAAGCATATCTTTTACCTGATCTGAAAGGCAATGAAATTGCTTTGTAGCGACTTAGGTTTTTAACCTATCCGCCACATGTTTCAAAAAGAAAAAATGTCAAAGATTTTGCATAATTCATCAACAGTTTTCTTTAAGCCGTCGTGGTTTTTATGCCCAAATGTTTTACGCCACTAAAAAATAAATTACCCAAACTGGTGAAAAAAATGCATTTACACCTTTGCATCTCCACTAAAAATAATCAAACTTTTCTGTTCTATTCACAAAATCATTGTACTCTAATTACCATTGCAGCAAAGTACCACAAGTTTGGAAAACACTACAGTTTTATCCACAGTCAGCTCACTACTCACTCATTAATTAAAGTAATTTCAGTATTCCAGTGTAGCGGTGCATTGATGGAAGTGATCAAATCGGCTATAGGATTTTGAGCTTTGAAGGTCAAAATGTATTGCTGTCGTGGGCAGCCCCATTCTAACGCGTGAAATGAGAGAAAAAAGATCTTTCCGCCAACGTTGAATATCTTATCTTGCATCCTGAATTCACAAATAATAGTAAAACTTGCGGAATCTTTTTTCTTACAGTTTTGGTAATTTGTGCTTAGTAAGACTAGTATAGCGCCCTGAGACTTGTTTGAAGGTTAAAGAAGGCAGAATAAGTATTACCGACGTGGAGGGGGCTGAGAGGCTAGTGGCGTGGCCAGGAGGATATAACGCCCTGTGGAAGTACAAAGGCGGAGCTCTAAGTGTGCACAACACCATATCAAAGATATGAACAAATGATCAAGGCATCACAATCTGAAGCTATTGTATAGCGGTGGTAATTTCGGTGTGAATTGGAAGTACTTGCTCTTTGTGGTTTGCCTCAAAGCCTCTTTTTATTAAAAGACGAACAATTTATCCACTAAAGGTTGAAAATGCAAATCAAATTCTTTTAGAACTCAAAACTGCTCTCTATTTGTAGTCTTGACGTCATTGTGGGTCAAGCTAATAACGCCTTATCACGTTACACTCCCTTCGCTTATAATTTGACCACGTCGTTCGAATTTGTGTGTTGGTGCCATGAGAAGGAGTATTGTTTATTATTACATATAAATCCTTCGCTCCCCTATTTTCTTCTCAGTCTTTGTTTTGAGACGTTTAAATAAACCCCAAAATTATATTTAATAATTCTCATCGTTGAAGGCCCGTAATCATTAAAAATACGCGTCGTGAAATTGCTATGACAATTATTACTATTGAATACTTTTACATGATACATATTCCTTTATGGCATCCGAATTTGGGAATTGTAACTGTAATTAAATAGAAAATTCTTGACTTACTCTTCAAAAAACTGCAATTTTTTAATAGAATGACAGCTCCAAAATTGTATCCCTTTCATTTTCTGCACTTACCCAGTGGTTTTTGGCACGTGATACGGCTACGCAATTAAAGTTGCCATTTTGCCTAGGTTATGGAGGATTCCAATCAAATCTCATTGTTATTTAACAAGTTTGAGGTATTAAACCACTTTTGGGTCTATTGTTGTAGATTAAAGTAACTTATTTTGGAGTTCTGTTACTACATACTCATCATAATGAATCAGGCTCACTGTAACTATCCTGAGACAACACAGTCTTCCCCACTAATCGTAATGAACTTTTACTTCTGCTTGATTAATCCTTTACCCGTATCTAACAATATCCTGGCTAACCAAATCGTGGATTCTTACAAGTGGAAATAAATCGCCTATATTTTAGTACAAAGTATCCTCTGTGTCGAGTGCCGATCTGATAGAGAGCCCTACTGTCAAGATCCCTTTAATCGGACACTCCTCCATTTCAACGAAATTCCCTACAAAATGTGCAATGGTTACTGCGTTAAGTGGATTCGAGCCCCACTAAACAATGATGGTAGGTATTTGTAATCTTTATCCTTGCAAAATTAATTTACATCTGCAAAAGGGACTTATTAAACATGTAAGCAATGCTATCCTAATGCTACCTTGGGATGTGTGGCTACACCAAATAACCAATTTTAAAAAAATACTATCAAAGAGTGATTGTTGAATGGGTATCTTTGAACTGAAATAAACATTCATTTTACAAGTTCGATAACCTCCACAACCCTACCTTCTGACTTAGATGTAAGTCACGGTGATCTCTACATACGAACGTGTTCAAGTAACCTTAATGTTCGGTTCCAAATCTCTCCGGTGTGTTTCCAGGAATCGTACACCACGAATCGACGTTTGTGTTTCTGCAATCGTCCCAAATGCAATTCTGCTCTCGCCTCCAACTCGGCTCTTATGTTCATAAGTCTCCTCCCTCTTTTAGTCACACTTGTCCCTTGCTAGACTCCCCATCGCTCAAATTTCTCCCATCTCCTCCCTTCGCAAAGTCGAAGAATGTATATTTATGCAACTTTTATTTTCATATACAAGTTAAGAAATTGACTCCAAAGTCTAATTTATAATGACATAATAAAAAGGGTGATCACATGATGTTTGAATTTTTATTTAAATACTGTCTTCTAAACGTACTACCATTACAAGGTAAGCGTATTAAAGTGGAATTATAATTATCTCTACAAACACAGATATTTAAGGCTGATTAACTAAAAAACCTTTTTAAGGAAAGAACACTGCATTGCTGCGCTTTCAGTCAAAGTGAAAAGATGAAAGATGAACTGTTGACATGGGAAAAACATTCATACCACTGAGATGGCAGTTACAACCCAGTCCATGTGGATAATCTTAAAATTGAGCATCATTTCCTCGTAGTGTAACATATTTGACAAATGTTTTACTGAATTCATTTCACATACATTTTCCATAATATCACAATCTTCGTAAAAATGGACCCCAATACTTGTTAAAGATGCAAATGTAGCCAAACCGAAAATTATCATTTTATTTAATTGATTATAATTCATAGACTATTTAATATTGCTGCTCTCTACAAAAAGTGTAATATTTTAATCATTGCATTCCTTGAAAAGACTATGTCTAAATTTTAGTGCGAAATCATCTACCTAGTGGCCTCTGAGCATGATTGCTTGATCATTCTTGATTTCAAGTTCAGTTTTTTAAATGAATACATGAATCATATCAGTCATGGAGAACGAACACTACTTCAGATATTATTACATTTACTCAATACAATTTTCAAAGACCCCACATTTAGTCAGAAATATAAATAATGCATTCCCCTTGAAGTGCTGCCATTGCTAACTTTAAAAAGAGGATTTTTCAATAAGGCAGCCTTTTACCACTAGACTCTAGACCAGGTACAAAAAACCTAGCCATGACATGATTTGGTGACTAAAAAATTAATTAAATTAAATGTGCTTTGGGAAAGGTTTATTAGACTTTTGTTATGTACTTTTATTTTGAGGGGATAATAAAAACCCTAGTTTTTGTGGCCCTCGTAACAAAATGTACCAGGACATGCCAACGACTGCGCAGGTTGCCAAGTGGTTTCATAATAACTTCAGTATTTAATGGCTGAATTCTCAGCATTAAAAACTGCTGACAATTATTTAAAGCTTACAATTAACAAATGAAGAAATACTTGCCTTCATATTTTATAAGACAATGCATTATGTATTATTGTTCGCTTTTGTGTGTGAACTTATCATACTAGGTGAGGGGCTAAAGTTTGCTTATTTTACAACACAAAAAAACTTTGGTTGTCAAAGTAGAGTCATTTTAAATTTAGATGTGCCATTTTACTGACTAAAATTTTTCTCTACATTCAAATTTTTAGATTCAACAATTGTCAAAAGGTAGAGATTCATTGCCGGTGCCACTAAATATGGCCAATCGTCCCACTTTGTCCTGAATTGTTTACTGTCGCACAAGGCTAAAAAGGAAGGCACATTCTAGTACCCATGCCTATAGCTATACCCAGGATTTAATATCGGACTAGTTTGGGCATTTAATTGGCATTCTGGTCTTATAACTCTAGTTTTGATGTGAAGAAAAGGCTATTTTGGACAAAATAGACTCGTTAGGCGCCACTTCAGACATCCAAGTTTCAATATTCATTAGTGTTAGAGAAGCCGCCTTTTCAAAATATCTTCAAGCAGATAAGAGATACTACTTAACAAGATCAGGATCCTTGAACCGGAGGTGGCGACAGTTGTTGCACAACCAGGGACGTTTAACAGCATGTCTGTAACTTCCTGAGTTCCTTTGAAATTGTAGGTGAAAATGCAATATCATGCAAGGTCACTTGCAAAATTTTGTTTGATAGGGAAAAGAGGCGGAAAGTCTTAAAAGGTTATTTTTTGTCGCTGACGAAGTACAAATGGATTTGGCTGGTTTCACGCTTAAAAACGTGTCTCACGTTTTTCTAACCATCAAGAAAATTAATTGATGACCTATTAAAACTTATGCTAGGAAGGAGCATAAAATTACCCTATTTAAGGGTTTATTATTTTTATTTTATTATTTTATTCTTCTGCGTTGTTTGTTATTTAACGAAGTTCTTCCTTTATTTATTGATAATTTATTAGGTCTGTGCCCCGAAATCCAAGTATTTTCTTCTATAGGGACATATCTTTTTCAAATGCGCTTATCTTGGCACCAAATCAGAGTCCTTTCAAGGAGGCAATACAATTCTGTTATCTTGCGTCTATTTACAGCAAAGGTACGCACTGAGGGACTAAATGAATGAAAGTAGTGAGAGTTGGAATAAGTTATGCATAAAATGGTAGATAAAAAATAATTTGTCGTGGATGTGTTTCCTTCGCAAATGAAGAGGGAAATTTATACAGGTTTCGCCTGTAAAAGGTCTTTAATTAATTAAAACACTAAGAAGTCCAGCTGTTATATTTTATAACCTTCCTAGGTGTGATTTCCCTGATTTACTTTAAATTCTAGAAGATGTTAGGCTTATTGATAGGTCATATTGGTGATTTAATTTTGTGCGAACCGGAAAATTTCAACGTGTTTTACCTTGGCGTATCAGTTGGAGCAGGTACAGTGTTTCTTCCACCCAGCTTCTGCTTCAGACCTTTCGATCAAGTTAATTGAGTGAATGCGGCTACCTTACATTTGTGGAACATAAAGGATGTATGCAGCTTACCGGAGTTTATGGCTGGGTCAGAGTTCACTTCCCCTTTGGAAACCGGTACCTTTCGCTCAGTCATGAGGTTGGTGTGGACTAACGCGTACCAGAAGGGCTATTGAGATCGCATCCGATTTTTTAATTGTCCCAATCTCGGATCCTGTAAATAACATATATACGAGTAATATACCTGAACTTACGTCGTTCAAGTCATCAATATGTGAGTGAGTAAAAAAAACGGAGAAGGAAAGTAATCCCAGGTCATAAGCTACGCAACTTGATTGTGCTTGTTTTACAAGTTGACTCTGCTTTTGAGTACAATTCCTTACAAATGCAAATCTTGAAAATCAGGTACACTTGCAATAGAGGATCTTTTAACCTTCCATGTACAAGGGCAACAACTATATACCGTCTACTTTACGATAAGTACGCAACATTGGGTCCACCAGGGTGGACATTTGGATCAGATTCCTTCTTAAGCTAATCGTCGATCAGTGCAGAACCATTACTTCCGGCAACAGATGGGCAGAAACCGAGGGTGAAGTACCTTTAAATAGATACAATTGCCTTATACACTTGTAATAAGTCCACGGCGACAGTAAATGGCAATGGTTTATTTTGATTTATGAGCTGCTCTTTTATGTTAATTTTACTTCTGTATCTAATTTTTAACCAATTCGAAGTATTTCATGTTAGATAATGGTGTTATGGTACAATTTTTAAATAATGAAGTAGGGTTTTGTAAATAAATTAAATTAATGTTAAATGATACATGACAATTTATGATCTGTCAACTACCCCACACTTGTATCATATTTTGATCTGAGAAAGTGAGCAAATGGAATAAATTAGGTTGTTTGGAATAATAAAAGAATTCATGAGCCAATTTTCCTTTATAATGTGAACATATGCACTATCTAATGCGTTACATGAATTCGTAATTTTGAATATCTTTGCAAGATTAATTGTTTCTGACTCAAATTTTGCAAGCATCAACTGTGATACTATGATTGCTTGTTTATAACTTCGTTTCAGCTACGTGAGCACCAAAGAGCATGACCTTTGTACTCCCAGTTGGTGGCTCGGCCTTTGTGACCCTATCTATGCCAGCATTCTTTTTTGTATAATTCAGCATGACCCCTTTTTAGCTTTTGTTTTCTCCTTTTCTCTGAGCTCTCCCCACTCCCGGAAGGCTCGTATGAGTTCATTCTTCATACCAACATTAAAAAATTGTTGCCATTTCTCATTAGAACCTAAATGGTTTACAGCTAGTGTTGCTTCAGTGGGTAATAGCATTCCTGCGGAACAAGGGTAGGTAGAGGTCCTTCAAAGTGCTCCCATTAGTTACCACAAATACTCCCATCCACAGCATATTGTCATCCTCCATTACATTAATTTTTAGCAGTCAGTAATAAAAATCGGGATAACTGTCCATTGGAAACGATTCCGCATTCCGCTGTCACCAATATGGCGCACTGAGCCTTTCCTGAGGATGAAGGAAGGTATAATACCCTCCAGTGATTACGTATACAAAACGAATAGTCAAACAAACAATCAAGGAGGTACACATTAAAATAAGCCGCTCAGTATTTCCTTTATGGGTGAGAGACGTTTCACTCTGAATATGAACATTAACAAAGATCTGATCTGCAACCGAAATGCTTGCCACCTCCTTCTGTATCTTCAAAATCAGGAGATGTTATGGCCAATATAAATGCAGCTGTATATTTACTTAAGTAACAGTTCGTGAAGAACCTAATGTTGCGATTCAGACCGTTAACGTACCCATAGTAAGCACTTACTTGAACTCTATCATAGGACTGTGAAAAATTCATTGATTTCTTTTTCCTGACTTTGTCTCTTACCCCACTTTGTATTTGTGCGAGCTTTAAGCTAGCACCTGGAAGGCTTTGGCATAAAAACATTCCTTCTATGGGCAGTCTATGCTTTCCAGTAAGCAGGGTGCTCTAGATTTTTGACACTGGCTGCATGCATTGTTGCCAAAAATAGATTTGTCTCAAACCCCTTTTAGTGTTGTTGATCCTGGATTAAGTACTTTACGCTGCAGCTGAATATTCTCAGGCATGACCGCTGTTCTGCGTACTAAGAATTACTGCAGCCAGGACTGTCACTAGCAATGGTGCGGCTGTCTTCAGAAAGTTTACACCGTCAAAAATGTACACTCTCTACCTAAATGTGTCACAGTACCACGCGGCAAAGTTTGGAGTTTTATGTATATATATATATCCATCTGCAGGCTTTGCACCATCAATCACCAGGGTCTTTGTTAATCATCCCAAGTTACTGCCAGCACATGCAAGTACTTTGGCTTGATGTTTTGATTATTGGTGTCTGAACAAATGAAAAACACGTTCTTAGCTGTTTTTGACAGCATGCATCAGTTACTTGTATAGTTAGTGTCTTTATTGTAATGTCTCTCTTTACGCTAAAGAAATTGGAAGTCCCGTTTGGCTCACTTGCCCCTCGTCCGGCCGAGTATAGCCTAGGTAAATTATTTGGCCAAAATGCACCATGACCCACCAACCATGATGTTTACCTAATAAAAAATTGAAAAAGATTCACGTGAAAAATTTACACGAAGTATTGCATGAAATGAGCCGAATTATCCTCATTTCCACCACATGCAAAAAATAATTAATTTACCAAGCTTTAAGTGCTAATAAAACCAATAGCAATAGTTAAATAATAATCCAAGTATTGCATATGTTCTGCAAAAAATAAAAAACACGACAATCATTCCTCCAACAAGGAGGAATACGCATCATTATCTACTAAACAAATAAGCTTTTGTATTTTAAAAGTAAACCTTCTGGTTTGAGAGGCTTTTCAAGGGTTTTTAAAATTCTATCTACAATTAACCTGAAATTTGGCTATATCACAAACTGAACTTCATTAAATTGCTCAGGTTCCTACTTTAAAATTATTTTGGGCTAAATTGATTAGAAACTCTTTCAATTTTTACGACTTTTTATTCTCTAGCGCAGACACCACAGTAATTTTGCTTTTTAATATGAATAAAAGTTAGGACTTCAGAGTGGCGCCATTTGTAGACTTTAATTCGGGTAGGTCCTACTTAAAAATGGTCATAAAATCTTTATATTTCCCTTAGAAAGACATTCATTGTCTCGCGATCAATGTGCGTATGAGTAGTTGATAAAACGCCCAAACATTAGTTCCACTTAAGCTTGTTATTGTTTTTCTGCAAGCGGCAACTGTGACGCTTTAACTGCTTGTTTAATTCTTCATTCTAGTTACTCGGGCACACAAGGTCCTGCCTTCGCGTTTTCACCAAGCGACATAACCCCTGAGCCATGCCAGCATCCTTTCAGCTCTTTTGTACGCTGAAAAGCCACAGAGTGCGACAGTGGTAGCAGTCAGAAGTAAATCCAGTCCTAGATGACAACTATTCTGGTCCCTATTGCAAAATACTAAACTTCACCCTAGTGGAAGATGGAGCTAGGCTGAGAATAGGAGAATCCGTGACAAGCCCCAACAGAAAGGGTGCGAATGACGTTCAAATTTGACAGCTATCCTAGTCTCGAGCTCTGTAGGACCGCTATTAGTAAACAATGCGGCACTGGCTTTACTAGTTTGGTACGGAGCTGTCTGCTCTACCTGTGTGAGGATGTCAATTAAGTGGACACGCAATGTCTTCTTTACATCTCCAATAGTTGGACTAAACCCCGGTAGATGCAACTAAGCTGAGAATAGATGCCAAACTTTATTCTAAGAAGCTATTTTGAACTCCGATCACTATTAAAAAAAGCTTTTTAAGCAGAATGAAACTTCAGATCCTGCACAATTGTCAAAAACGATCAGTAACGTTCTAGTCAAGTACCTTTCTAGTTGCACGTAGATTCTATGCGGATGCCTTTCCTACAACGACTGTATTGTGATGATCGGCGCGGGAGGATGACCAAGAAGACCACTACGGATGAGGCTCAAAAGGAGTT